ATTGAAAATCGATTACATACACACCTAATCGTTTTAATAAAGTTCGAGTTATATTAAGTTGTTTTAATAATGATCGATCATTATTAGTAGTAGTAAAATCACCAACAAAAATAACAATTACTTCATAGCCGATACGATGCCATGCAGCTGCTGTTATAGGTGCATAAAATATATATGATCGAAGTTCAGAATAAATAGATGATGCACATACAACAAATTTACGAATGGTATTTTTTGATAGGTTTTTTTCTGTTGATGGAAGAGAAAAAGAAGAAATAGAATTAAAAGTAGACACGAGTTTTATGTTGATGGATGTCCATGAAGTTGTATTTTTTGATAGTGTATAGAATACTAAAATACTAGTAGTACATACCGTTATACCAATTAAAAATAAAAAATATTTATAGAGCTAGAAAGAAAAAAATCTCTATTAATATCTATCAAAAGTTAATCATATGCATAAGAAAATTCGAATATTACCATTGCAAATCTAAGTTCATCTACCTTTTCGGAGGTTTCTGAAGAATAGCTCATCAGAAATACTTGAAACTTTTATGGTAGATAGATTTCGAGATGTGAAACAAAAGTTGTCATACAATTCTAATTTTCAAATACTTTCTTCTAGAAAATATTTAAATCGCATAAGCTAAAGATCGATCCTCTATCTCGCGTCAGTTGTAAAACATCGGATAGTCCTGAAATATTTTCTTATAAATACTACATACCGTTTATGGTGCCTAATTTTTCTTGGTTTCTTTTTATCTCTTTTGGTTGCAGAATAAAATATCAAAATACTGAGCGTACTCTCCGAAAAACATGCTTTGTTTTGTAAAATCTGTCGAAAGCCACCAATACAATATTTTTTTTTGAAAATAAAAATACTAGACATCATAAATAGCAGGCAGTACCTACAAAAAATAGTTTCAGCTGAATTAAATGTAGTATGTTAGAGAAATGGGAGAGTTTGGGTTATGAAATTCCAATGATGAGACACAGTAAGAAAACACAAAAAACAAAAAAATTGGTAATAACTACGATTGGAACTATTGTGTAGGAAATATAAAGATCATTACTACGAGTGAACTTAATCAAAAGTATAGTTCGTATAAAAATGAAGCATATGGTTAAATTAATGTGTATAATCGGACTATTGTTCAATACAGTATAAAAAATTGTCTGACAAAGCTCAGCCCCTAAGTAGAGCTACTGATGCCACTGCTATAGATAAGTATCATAAATGAAGAAAAATTATATTCTGTAAGTAACGTGATATTAATTTTTTCAATACGCATAGCGCTAATATGAACTACCAAGGATAGTTCCCAAATGATCAAACACTTTTTTGTAGAAGCATACATGACTTTATGCAGCTCACTGTTCTGTTCCCTAGTATCAGGGTCTTAGTGGTTCTTAGGCCATTCTCAATTCCGTGTTATTACTCTGAACTCTTTTCTGATAAAGATATTTCTCATCAAATTCAATCTTTTAATCAGCCTATCATGTATTACTAGACAAAATATTCACAGGAATACTTTTTGTTTTTTATAGACACCTCAATCTTAAGTTTCAACTAGTAAGTTCTAAAGCAGAGAAGTAATTCGTATATTGACTACAAACAATCATTGGACATTTCTTGTCTTTTCTTCATCATACATTCACAAATCAATCATAACTGTACTATATATAGCAAAGTATATAACAATAAGACAAATAGAAAATACATATGCTAATTTCTCAAAAGATAAAACATTGGCACTGTGACGATATATTTTCAACACAAGAGGCTAATTGAGCGAGATTATACAATGCAATACATAAGATAAAATTTTTTCTTTTGTGAAAAATATTAACTCCATAAGGACACTTGTATATTTAGTCTTTTTTCTTCGTACGGTCCTTTTTAGCATTTGAAACTTAAGATTAAAGTGTCTATAAAAAAAAAAAGTATTCCTTTGAATATTTTGTCGAGTGATACATGATAGACTGATTAAAAGATTGAATTTGGGGGAACTTTCCTTGTAAGTATATAGTATTCAAAATTGCATAGCATTGTCAAAGTGGCTGCATTTTATTGTCTTTAAAATAAAATATCAATTCAATAGTTTATATCATAAATAAATAACTTACCATGTGCGATCAATATTTAATAATATTTTATTATTATCCTACACGATGAATCCTTGACGTAAAACAAAGTATGTGATCCTTGATACAAGCTTTGCTTGACTGTCGGTTTCGCTCTATTGATAAGTGATTTGCGATTTTTTGCTATCCACATGAGCTACATAAAAAAAAAGAACAGAGAATAAGAGTGAAACAATATACATCACAATGTGTATATACACATGTATATGGGGTTGACCAATCTGGTTGGATGTCTCAATGCTATTTTTAATCATTCAATCTCTACCCATGTAAAAATCAATAAAAATTTAACGATGTTATCGAAAAAAGATGTTACATTTTTGACTGTGAAAACGCGTTAAAAATTTGCTTTTAACGAAACTTCACGAGTTATTTCACGGTCAAAAATGTAACATCTTTTTTCGTTAACATCGTTAAATTTTTATTAATTTTTACCTGGGTATAGTATATCAAAAAAATCTGATTTTTTTGCTAGTTTATAGTACTCATATAATGCTGATGATCTGTCGAAGAGAAGAAGTTTATTTCTTGTTTAAAGCGAAAATAATCAAGTATCTCCAAAAGTCTTTTGATATTTACTAACAGATGATTCTAAAGACACTTAACTATTGTGGCTTCAAACAAGAGATAAACCTCCTATCCTTGATAGATCATCAGCATTATACAAGTACTATTACTATTAAAAAAATTAGATTTTTCTGATATATTATAGAAACTGAATGATAGTAAAAAGCATTCGGACATCCGATCAGACTGGCCAACCCTGTATATATATATATAAGTGAATTGCATCTTTATTGTACGCTTCAGAATTTTAAATTATTTTTGTTACAACTTCGATGGTTGTGATTTTTTCTTTTGTTGCTTAATCTTTGTTCATACTACCATATAAATTTCGAGGTCTATAGTTCATTAGTCTGTCGAAATATTCCTATTAAATGTTTCATTCATAAGTTTTGATAAGCTCGTCTAACATCGCTCAAACTTTCATCCAAAAGAGTATACAATAGATTCTTGAAATAGACAACCTTATAGTTATGTAGTTTTTAGTTTCCGAGAACATTCAAACTATCAATCAAAGCCAGAAAGTCATAGAAACAATAGACTCTACTTTTTGTACTGATACCAAATATGATATTTATTTGAATACAGTAAAAAGAAAAACATTATTAGACATATAATTTCAAGTTAAAAATAGGGTACATAGAACGGGCACATTGAATTAAATATTTGATAAAATAATCTCACTATTCCCATTGGTACAAACAATAACTTCATTAGATTGAAAGAATAAATATTGTAACAATATAACCCAGTGGAAGTGGTATTAGACATATATCGATAGAAAAATATTTCAATGTCTAAGATATACTTATCGAGCTGAATAAGGGAATGTGTTTCTTTAGTTTATTGTGAACTAAGAAACTTGTACATTTTTACGATATAAAAAAAAGTATTTACATTTTATCCAGATTTCAAAACTGGTGCCCTCAGAGTCTTCATAAAAAATGAGTCTATGACAGTAATTTTTGCTATTCTTCAAACATGTTATAATCAAAAAGGATATTGGATTATAAAAGGAGCTTCAAGCGACATATTAATAAATCGATGAGTTTATATGAAATGTGATTTTGTTTCTTCAATGTCGTGGTATCGCTGACGTTTAAATGCTATTGGAAACATCACACATTGTACTTCGAAAGTATAGTTTTTGTTTTTCAAAATATTTCTTTATTGAAGAACAAAATATTCATTTATCTGTGACTAAGAAGTCTAGAAGCATGAAGTTCTTCGAACATTAGAAGGCATTCCTCACTAAAAGCCTTTCATGTGATTATACAACTAGAAGGCATGGAATCAGTATACCAAACAGAACAAATGAAAATGGCTTACTCCTGCTTCCCAATGCTTCAATTTTCGACGATTTCTGATTCCAGGCAAATGATATAGATTGTCTTGGAAAAAGAAAATCAGGTAGGTACTTTTCAATGTATTTTAGACGACTCAATTTTGGATGTAATCGTTTACTCAATTACATCAGAACGCAAACATGAACGAAACATTCATGTTACATTAATAAATGCTTTCGAACATTCTAGAAAGTTCCAGAAGCGCTGATGTACCAGTACTCCTGACAGCCATTTCCTTATTGCTATGAAAACATATCTCATTGTTGTTAACCTTCTCTCCTCGACAGTTTTCTAGTGAAGTAAACCCAGCCAACGCTAACTGATTCACTAGAGCACATCGGATCTGAAAATTTTTTGGCTCGGACTAGGTAAACAAAAACTCCTCAAATTCAGGTTCGACGGGCTCTACTGCTCATTCCAATTGATATGGAAACGTACTCAATTACTTTGATCTTCATCCTGCTGACACAGTTGCTACGACCTCGGAGAGAAGCTAGAGATGTCTTTATTTAAACTTAGACTCATGATTTTTTTCAAGAATATATGTGAGCTACATTCGCACAACAGATATTATGCTTAGACAGCCCCTAAAAAGTTCCAGGTATAGTATTTAGACAATGCTTAAAAAGTAACATGCAATATATGTAATAGAATTAACAAATAATGCAATATCCGTAGGCAATTTTCTCAGAATTCGCTAGATTCAATTCGAATTATAAAATATCACTCAGATAAACTTTACGTTTTCTTTTCTGTTCTATATTTGAACTCGAATCAAGTAGCTCATGACAAAATTTCGATTGCTAAAAATCAAAGATCACTACCTATTGTCTTTCTCGAATTATTGAGATTATATCTAGCCATTTTTAATTCTATCAACAACATATGTTCTATTACAATATATATTTTATTTCAATAATCTATTCAAAATATTAAAATTTTCAATCAATGAACTTCTGTTTTATTTTGTAAAGTTAGAAGAAATTCTTTATAATATAAATCAAAATCATTGACTAATGATGAGTTAAATATATAAAATAATAAATTTTTGAACATTGAATATTGATATGAAGAAAATATTTCATCATGTATAAGATGTGCATCATCATATCTTTTTAATTGTTCTAGTTTCCAAGCTTGTGGTGAAAAACCTGAATCAAGACGAGCTGATGGTCCATGAAATTTATCAATTATAATATTCGAATGTTTTTCACAATAGTCATGTAATAACATTGAAGAATAAATTTGATCCATAAACCATGCGGGATCACCTTTTTTCATATTTGTATCATATATTTGACCAAATTCATGTCGTGTATAAAGACTTATTGTATCAAATGAAAATGGAGCTTTATTAGAAAGAAGAATAGTATTCAAAGAAGATAAATTAGAATGTAAAAGTTCTTTTCGTTGTGTAGATTCAAGAACTAAATTACGCCAAAGTTGTTTTGAAAGACATATATGACACATTGGAAACATACGATAAGTTTTTTCTCGTCGTTTAAATGTACCACAACAAAATGCATTATAAATAAATCCATGTGTACCATTTTTTATTACATAATTATTACTATTTAATGGAATAATATCACTATCTGTTATTATAATATAATCGATATCTTTTACAATATCATTTGATATAAATCCAACAAACATACGTACTAATTGTGATATTTTTATAGAATATGATCTATGACATTGAAAATCGATTACATACACACCTAATCGTTTTAATAAA